GTCTAGGCTTGAAAGTTAGTAGCAGGCTGTTAGGGCTCACCCCTGTGGCGCTGTGCACAGCGTTGTTGTACAAGCTGGCGATGAGAGCAAGCTTCTCATCCTAGTCTACCTAGTTGGGCTTGATGTAATGCTGCAGCAGATGTTGTACAGCATGATTCAGCTGCTCTGCTTGGCCATTGGCTTCTGGGTGGTTCCCAGAGGTCATCTGCAGATGTGTCCCCTGTTCTGCAGCTGCAGCCTTCCACAACTCGCTAGTGAATCTGACATCCCGGTCACTCACGATAGACTTTGGTAATCCAAAATCTTTGACCCAGTTCTCCTTGAATAGTCTAATGATGTACTCAGTCTTTGCTGTTTACGGCATTGCAACTAACCTAACATACTTACTAAACCTATCCACAATGACAAAGATGTGTCTCATTCCACTCTTGCTGGTGACCAGTGTGTCCATGAAGTCCATGGACAGGCTTTCAGCGGGCCTTTTCGATATCGGAAGGGGCTTGAGGAGCCCAAGAGGGGCCTGTGTACGGGGCTTGTCTCTTTGATAGACCTGACAAGTCTCCACGTACAGCTTGGCATCTCTCATCATCCTGGGCCACCAGAACCGCTGCAACAGATTGGCTGCAGTCTTCTAGAAGCCAAAATGTCCGGTGGCATTATGACACTCGCCTAAAAATAAATTACACAAAGATTCCCTATTGGGAACACACAAACGTTTATTCCTGACCTTCTCAAGGAACAGCAGACCGTTGACCAACTCAAACTCGGCAGAAGTGATTTTGTCCTTCGCCTCGAGTCTGCGAATGATCTCGGACATAAATTGATCCTCGCGGTAGGCTTCCACCATAGAGTGAGTAACATCGTCCGCAAGCCCAAACTCAGTGATCAGCGCACCGGAGAAATCTGGTCTATGCGACAGCGCGTCAGCAACCTTGTTGTACTCGGCCTTGATGTATTGGGGCTCAAAGTCATACTGCTCTATGACTTCAATCCAACGCTTCAGAGCGTCGGAGAGCACAGGGTGGGTTCTCATCCACTTCAGGGTTTGGTGATCAGTCCTGACGTAGAAGAACCTCCTAATGAGATAGTGTCTCCAATGGGTGAGCGCCTTGTAGATTGCATAGAGCTCCTTCTCATAGGTGGACTTAGCCAACTTCTGAGAGGGCATCTTTTTAGACATGTACTCTACTGGCCTCAACTTCTTCCCCTCCTGCTGCGCAAGTACGGCGCCTATGCGATATTGGCTAGCATCCGTAGTTACTACGAAAGGTTTGTCAGGATCAGGAAGTTTCAAGACCTCATGGTGTGCCAACGCATGCTTCAGCTGTCTGAAAGCAGCCTCACACCTATCTTTCCACTCCCATGGGGTGTCAAGGCGAGTCAGGTCCGTCAAAGGGGCGGCCACTATGCCATAATTATGAACAACATTGCGGTAGTAGCTTGTTATCCCTAAGAAGGACCTCATTTCAATCATAGACTGAGGATGCGGCCAGTCACGAATGCTGGCCACCGTCGCGTCATCGGGCTTCAGACCCTCCGCGAAAATCTCATGACCCAAGTACAAGATACGGGTGCGGCCAAACTCACACTTCTCCCCGTTTATCTTGAACTTATGCTGCCGAAGGAGACTGAGGACTTTGTCTAAGTGAGCTACATGCTCCTCGACAATCCTACTAAAAATAAGTATGTCATCAAGGTACACGATGACAAACTTGCAAGTAGTCATGAAATATCCGATTCATAGCGTGCTGAAAGGTGCCAGGAGCATTGCATAGGCCGAAATGGTCTGAAATGCGGTTTTGTGTTGATCCTCGGGCTGGATTGCAATCTGATGGTACCCGGACTTCAGATCTATATTACTGAAGTACCGACACCCTTGCACTCTATCTAGCAAGTCGTCGATGCGCGGTAGGGGCTCTCTGTTCTTGACAGTGATGGCATTGAGGCCCCTATAGTCAGTGCACATCCTAAGTGTTCCTTCCTTCTTCGGTACGAATAGGACTGGAGATCCATAAGGAGAAACACTCGACCTGATCCAACCCTTCTCTACAAGTTCCTTGAGTTGTCGACGAAGCTCATCAAGCTTGCCTGGAGACATCCTATAGATCCTACCCTTCGGGATACTAGACCCTGTGATAATCTCTATTGTGTGGACGATCTCCCTCTCACCAACCCCTTGTAGGCTCTTCAAATAGATTAGGGTATTTGGCAACTACTATTTTCGGCGGTATTTTCACCGGCTCGCCTGCAGCAGAGACATAGACTAGATACATACCCTCCTTCGGATTTTGCTGATAATAGTTATAGAATGCGGCTCGCCTGCAGCAGAGACATAGACTAGATACTACTTCTTCTATTTTCGGCGGCATTTTCACCGTCTCTCTCTCTCTCTCTCTTTCTCTTGCGCGCGCGCGCACGCAAACACCTCCTCCCCTTTATGCGAAACTCCATTCACACAGGCCCGAACCAACATCAGCCCAAACAGTCGCTGCCAGACTCAAAAACAAAATCGCGGACAAACAATATTTGAACACTCACCGCCAGACTCTAAACGATAATCGGGCGTGAAAAACAGAACCGCGGAAAAATGATGTTTGAACACTCCCCGCCAAACTGGAGACAAAAGTCCGGTGCAGGGGCCTGCTCGGCCGCTCCCAACACGGGCCGTGGGCCCATTTCGTACTTTCCCAAATGGGGGCTCGCATGGGATGCTCATGCGAGAGTCGATGCCCTCTATTTCCTTTAGAGTATAAGAGATTAGAGAAGAAAAAGAAGAAAAAGGAGGCGGCAGTCGAGATGGGGAACGTCTCCGCCGAACAGGCCTCTGTGACGGCCAATATGACCATGAATGCCTCCACCACTGAGACCTCTTTGATGGCTAATCTGACCATGGTTGTGTTGATGATAAGGATGATGACGAAGGGAGGCATGCAAAGGGAGGAGGAGGAGGAGGAAGAAGGGGAGGAAGAGGAGTAGGAGGAAGGGGAGGAGGAGGAGGAGGGTGAAGAGGGGGTAGTTGACGGAGGGGTGCAGTAGAAGATGTATGTGGAGGAGCTGGTGGTGATGGTGATGATGGTGGTGGTGGTGGTGATGATGGCGGTGGTGCTGGTGGTGGTGGAGGCACACTTTCAGCAGCTGTCATATTGGTAGGATGCAGGTCATCATCCCCTGCAGCCACTTTGACAACATTTACGTTCTGTTGCGGTTGGCCTGGTTTCCAGCTGGGTTGCAGTATACACATTAGCAGCTGTCATTCTGGCGGAATAGAGGGGAGGGCCGGCCCGCTGCGTTTGGTGTTGAAGAGGGCTGATGCCACCTATATTCAAAATTGGTGTTTGGGGGTGGGTGGGGGGCCACTGCATGTGGCTGTGTGGAGGGGTGATGCTGCCTGTGCATATAATTAGCATTCAGCAGTGGGTGAGCAATTGCCCAGCGCGCCATGCGGCGAAACCAGTTTGTAAACCAGGGGAGATGGGTGGGTAGCTGATACTGCCGGCCATGCACATATGCAGTCCAACCTCTGGCCAGGACACTGAGAGGATGGCCCCTAACAAGTATATGTTGTGTCAGGGAGGTCACTGCAGCTTTGAAGTCGATGGTATTGTTACAGATATGCTCGAACATCGTCAACTCCCCCGTGAACACACCTTTGGGCTTATGAGCTGGGGCACTGGAGGAAGCACTGCGATAACGTATGATAGGGAATGTCCAAGCCTCGGCCTTATCAAAATCACAGCAGTGTGTGTGTGTGTGTGTGTGTGTGTGTGTGTGTGTGTGTGTGTGTGTGAGAGAGAGAGAGAGAGAGAGAGAGAGAGAGAGAGAGAGAGCACGTGACGGCAAGAAAGACCTGACTTCTGAACCTGTGTGTGCGTCTGTATGTGCTGTGGCATGTGTGTGTGTGTGTGTGTGTGTGTGTGTGTGTGTGTGACGTGCATTTGTATGTTTGTGGGGTATGAAGTGGGGGGGTGTTTTGCATATGGCGCTCTGAAAGGTGTGGTTTCTGGCAGCTTTTCAGCTGCAGACGGCAGCACCAAACATGCCCCTCTCCCAAAGGGAAAAAAAAAGTGTACGACACTCGTATGCATACGAGTGCATATGAATCACAACACTGCATCCCAGAAAGTCGTTGTGTGATTACCCCGTTATTGTCAGCCGTAATCAGTTTCATAACCATGCATTATCTTCGTCCTGTGACTTGTTTGACATGGATGGTGCAGATCTGCAATGCAGTGGCAGTTGCACGCGTCATAAATGCAACACTCGTCATACCAAAGCTGGATAATCATTCCTTTTGGGGGGACTCCAGGTACGTGGTCGCGAAACTCCTTGGGCCCATTTCCAATTGCCGGGGTCCATGTGGGTGACTTTGCAAAAGGCTCATCTTGATCACCTGGGACCATTTTGATGGCTTGGAACCAGCCCAGGTAGGTGGTTTTCAAATTCCTTGGGACCATTTCGAGCTGGGACACTCCAGCGAGGGGGCTGCAAAATGCCTTGGGCCATTTCCGTTCACAGCTACTGTCATCACCTGAGTAAAATACCCGGTCATTATAGCTGTGTATTTGGGGCAACTTTCAGTCTAGATATGGCGATAATGACCGACTGGCCTATCTCAGTTGGTACATTTATCAACAGTTGAAACACAGACCTGAGTTTGAATTCTGACTGAAACAGACAAGTAAAATTCCCTCTGAATTTACCAGGGCCCGGTCTGCTCAAAGATGATATCTCAAGGCGGTCGCCCTTTCAAAAAAAAAAAAAAAAAAGGAAAGGAAAGAGAAAAAGATAATGGTGATATTGACCGGACGTTCCATTTGGCTGCAAAAGACTGCCAACAGTGAGGGAGGGAGTCCCCCAATGTAGAAGCACATCCCACTGCCAGCTTTCCAACCCCACAACTATCACCAGAAATCGACACCGGTCAGATACTTTAGAGACAGCATGATAAGCACACCTGTGCAATGGCACTTGCTTCCCACCCCCTGGTTCACATAGAAGTATCTCATTGTCATCAGTTAATATGGTGAGTGGTGACGAGTGGCATTTTGGTACAGGGTTGTGCATCACCCACTGTTAAGTGAGAATTTCGCCCAAGTGCATGAGCAGTGATGACGCAGGGCTGAATGACAGCAGCACCGGCTTGCAAGTCCAAGACAAGCACACGGTGGGAGGGGCATTGCATTGCTACCGTCTTCACCTGAAGAGAATGCCTGGTAATTTTCACTGTATCTAGTCTGAAAGTTGCCCCAAATACGGCTATAAGGACCGGGCCGTTCTATTCAGGTGAAGATAGTACGCCAAAGTGGGTGCACTTTGGCCCAATGTTCCAAGCAGACAAACCTTTGCCACTGATGCCACGCTGATGCTGGACTGATGCCACATGGATGCCACATTCTGTCGCAGTGTCACACTAAGGGCACACTGATAGCACACTGGTGCCACACTGATGCCACAGTAATGCTACACTGATGCCAACTCTTGCCCTACTCTTGCCACGCTCTTGCCACGCTCTTGCCACGCTCTTGCCACGCTCTTGTCACACTCTGATGCCACACTGATGCCACACTGATGCTACACTGATGCCACACTGATGCGGCACTGATGCGGCACTGATGCGGCACTGATGCCACTATGATGCCACACATTTCACATTGATCCCGCACCGATGCCACACACTGATATCACATGGAGGCCACTCTGAGGCCACAGTGATGCCACACTGCTGCCACACTGGTGATGCCACAGTAATGCCACTCCCAACACCACCCTTTCCATGTACATTTGATTTGTGTTCTATTTGTACAATATCTTCAGAGTTCAAAAACGAAAGATGTGATGCTTCAGGCACCCAAACAAGCATTCAACAAGCGGAAAGTGTTACCAGCTCTCAGATCTGGCTTTGCTGAAGCTTGAAGCGATGACAACAAACGACCAAGCGTCTCACTTCATGCAGATACAAAAACAACCGACAAGCTTCAATCAGTTTGTTAATCAGTGAAATTCAGAGCATCTCAGCATATCATAGATTCAGAAAGAATTCTCCTTGGAAAAGCGATTCCACCCTGTCTTGCTCGAAAGTACCAAATACTACCAACTGGACCCCATGCAACTTTCTGTGGAACTGCTGGACTCACGTTGTCCCGATAGCTTGTATGGTGGAGGTCCTATCACAACATTCCTCATTGCCTTCGTCCCCAGAACACAATGCCCCAGCATTCTGCCTTGTGTATAGGCTGGGAGGCAGGGGTGTGTCAGGAGGGTAGGCTTCACCGAGTCGATCCAAGTGAATGATGATTAGAAAAATATGCAATCATTAGATGCCTAAATAAACATGCTGTTGAAACTTGAAAGTCTACTGGTGGGTGGCAATTGCGTCCCTGCAGGGCTGTCATGCGGTCTCATTCTGCCAGCTGATGTGGCAAAACCTTGCCAACTAGGAAGACTCCAGTGTTGCACACCCCGACGGTCGGCGGCCCTTGACTGGTCAGCTGCCGACCCGCCGACCGATCGCCTGGTCGGCACCTAGCAGTCGGGGATCATTGGCACCCCGCAGTTTTTTTTTTTTTTTTTTGGGTATC